TGTGCTGGAGCCTCCAGGAGATGCGGGTGTTGAGGATGGTACAAGCTCTGACTGCTGCTCCCGTGTTTTGCTGGCCCTAATCCTGTTCCTCCTGCACCCATGGGTTGTTTTTGGATCTCCTCTGCTGGGATCAGGCGGCCAAGTTGGGATCTCAGTGCTGCAGGGAGGTCTGGGCATGTCCCAGGAGTCAGGGTTGGGCTGCCAGAGGGGAAGTGGAGTTGCTGGTGTACCTGAAGGAAGGTCAGGAGCATTTTGGGGTGACCTGGGCCAGAGCTGCCTACAAAGGGGTTTTGGTCCATGGCTGCTTTTCCCAGCCTTACATGGGCTGCTCTTTCCCACGCTGGAGTGCTTGTTTCTGACTGGTGCAACCAGAGCTGAGCTCCCTTCCTGGTAAGCCTGCTGCTGAGCCAGCTGAGCACCCCAAGGTTAGTCCCACCACGGATATTTTGGGACTGACATGAAGGGGGTTGGTGGTCCAGGTTGGGCAGGAGCTGGAAGCTCAGTCTGATCCTCACCAGGAGCACCCTGTTGTATCCCCTTCCCCCATTACCCCTGGGAATAGCACATTCCCACAGTTTTCGGGATGTTTCCAGTGAAACGTGAGCCAGAGCTGGGCTAGCAGGTGGCCCTTCTCTAAGACAGCTCCATACTCCATACAGAAAACCACATTCCAAGCTCTTCACGCTGGTGCAAGCTTGAAACAACAAGATTATCCTTGAGGGGAGCGGGCTGGGGGATAAAACAGCATCTGTGACCCTGCAGCTTAAGATTTTGGTGGGATTTTTTCTTCCCCCCCTAGTATGCGAGCAGCCCAGGCACCTGCAGGGCACCCAGCCAAAACTGGCACCAAAATGCTTGTCCCCAAGAATCCCTTTGGCTACGTGCATGGGCCATGGATGGAGCTCAAAAATGAATCCTGTTCTCCCACACCTCCCTGGAAACATGAGTTGTGTGTCCTGGACCTTCCTCAGTTTCTCTTTGGGGAACAAAGGTTGATGTCTCACCTGGAGGAATTATCCTGCATGTGAACTTGGTTGATGGATTTAACCTCCCATTGCGGTGAGGATGTCAGGATGAGGATGCTGTGGAGATCAGGATGAAGACAGAAGGCAAATGGATCATAATTTAAGGGTTTGGGGCACTGGGTTGAAGTAGAAGAAAAGGGTTCTGTGAGTGGTGCAGAGCTTGAGCTGGTGAAATAAGGAGCCTGTTGGGAAGAGTGCCAGTGTCTCCAGGGTCATGCTGATGGGTGGATTGCTTACTTGGGAGGGCTGAGCACATAAATAGTTTTAGCAATGCTGGAGGAATTGGTGGCTCTTTCCCCTCATGGGTGGAGGCACGGTGCTCCCAAAGCAGAGCTGTGCTGGAGAAGGTGGTTTTTCCCAAGATCCCAGGGATGGCTTGAATTGAGTGTGTGATGCTACTCTGAGCTGTTCCACCTACAAATTCCTAGTAATCTGAGTTGCTGGTCTCGTCTGGAGGTGTCACCATGTGCAGCTGAGATGTGCCCCAGCCCCTCTTGTACCCCATGCCACTGAGCTGGGCTCTGCTTCCCTGGAACTCAGCTGCAGGAAGAATCCCAGAGACAAAACTGGTGCCCATGGGAAGGATCGTGCCCTGGTCATCAGCTCCCAAATAATCCTGAAAGTTTCCTTTGCCTCGATTAAAGCCCTGCCAGGTTCTAACGTGGGGAAATGGGAGCTATTTCATCCTTAACTAGCCTGCTTAATTTCCTCCCTGCCCTTGTGCAAACACATTACAGAGCCATCACTAATGACAACATCATCAAAGACTAATTTTCCCGTAATCTAATCTAAGGCACAGCTCATTCCTGCAGAGTTTTCCCGGCTGTACCAGAGACGCACGTGCAGCACGTCAGGAGATGCCACCCCCATTGTGTTAATGGGGCATTCCTGGGGCTGAAATCCTCTTTTTTTCCCCCTCAGGAAGGTGAATAGCAGTTTCCACGGCTTTTTTGGGGATGAGGCTGATTCACAGGGTTGTGTGAGGTCTGTCTGTCTTGGCAGCCTGTGGGTTTTTGTTCTGTGGAATGAAAAGGTCTCCGGTGGCTGGAGCTCTGCCGGCGTAACAAGCTCAAGGTTTGGGTCTGGAAAGCTGGGTGTTCTGGCCACAGGTGTGTTTGGGCTGTCCTTAGCTCTGTTTCTCCATGTGAAATTCCCTTTCCTGAGGGAAAGATCTCCATTAACAGAGCTGGATTCTGCCTGGATCTCAGTGCTGCAGCTCCTCACCTGGTGTTACAAGATAAAATGGGTTCAGGACATCAATGCACACAAGGAGAGGACATTTCTCCAGAGACCAAAAAAAAGGGATTTCCTCAACCCTGGAAGTGTTCAAGGTGAGGTTGGATGGGACTTGGAGCAACCTGGTCTGGTGGAAAATGTCCCTGCCTGGGGCAGGGGGTGGAACAAGATGGGCTTTAAGGTCCCTTCCAACCCAAACCATTCCGTGATTTTATGATTTGGAGGAGACCTTATCATGTGGGGCAGAAGTTAAGGATGCCTGCAGTGAGGGGCCAGTGGTGTTGGAGGAGCTCTGCATCCTGCAGCTGCTGCACAGAACTGAGAGAGGTGTGAGAAGCAGGAAAACCATCCCACCTCCGTGCTTATCCAGCACAGGCTGCACCCCCTTGGGATGCCATTGATCTCCTGACAACTACACATCCTAGGCTTGTGACTGGTTTCTTGACAGCCATTTTTGAGTTGAAAATGTGAAACTCCTGGAATATCAACTCTTTCTGGGGTATTAGAGGGCCTTGAGGTGTTTAGGTAGCTCCAAAGCCCTTCCAGGGCTGGTGTGCATCTGTGTAATGGTCACTTCATGAAGATCAGGATGGGTGTTGCTGACATACTTTTGTCTTACAGGGGGCAAAACCCTCTGTGACTCTGAATTTCAGCCCCTTCCCTCCCTACTAGCCATTTTCCTTGTCTCTCAGCTTTCCCAGGAAGCAGCTTTGGGATCCAACAGCAGTGTTTCTTACTTAAAAACAATCCCAGGGAAAGGGAATAAAAGCAAACAACAACCCCTCAGGTCATTTTGTTTAGCGTTGCTACAAGGTTTTGGCTAAAAATTAATCTAAATCTTCGACCCTAATTAGTTTTCTTTTGCTTCGCTTGCTGTCACATGCGGTCTGTGTGTGTATTTGTCCAGATTATATTTTTTTTCCTAAGCTGGTGTCTCCTGCACTGTGTGGGAAAGGTGTGTTGGCCAAGGGGCAGGTGGATGAGAGCAGTGGTAAAGCTTCCTTTTGCTCCCAGCTGCTCCCACCCACCCCTGGGGCAAAGCACCCCCCAGTTCTTACCCCAAAATGTTTTGCATCCCTTTCCCGCTGCTGTGGGACTGTCACTCTGCAGCCTTGGCACTTTCTGTGTGAGCCCTGGGCAGGATCCAGCTGTGTCCAAGGTGTTGGTGTCCCCAAACCAGGGATGCTTTGTCCCCAGGGATGTTTGTCCCCAAGCCTGCACCCACCAAAACTTTCCTTCCCCGTTCTCAGCTGTGCTGGGTGAGGGGAAAAACCAAATAAAGCTGCAAGATTTGGGCAAAGGATTGGGCTGATTTACACCAGTCAGGAGCTGGCCCTTTGTTTTATCCTGGGAGGAAGGAGAGACGTTTTCAAGGCGGGGATGCAGCAGCATCTGTATCCCCGGGTTTCCCCTAAATTTCAGTGTGGAGGGAGCAGTTAAACCCCAGCTGAGCCGGCGGAGCGCTGTGGAAGAAGGGGGCTGGCTCAAGCTGCCTCCTCTCCCGAAAAGCTCTGCCGAATCAAAGGGGAGAGCGGAGCACGGGGTTGGTTGCTTTTAATTTTCTAAACCCCAGGGTGGCCCCCAGCCAAGGCCTCCTGGCGATGGAGGGGATAAAGTTCCCTGAGCCACCGCGAGCCTCCGTTCACTCGCCAGTGCTCTGAACTTTGCGTTTAGGTTTGCATGGCTGCATCCACGCCAGACCCCTGCCAGCCAGTGCTTTAGGCCCCGCTTCTCCAGAGACCCCTGCCCAGCTGAGCTGCTAGGTGCCTTCCAAGGAGGTGGCCCACTGGAAGAAGGTAACTTTTGTTTTGGTCTCTTTTCCTCTTTTCCCACCCCCCTTTTTTCTGTTGTTGTTGTTTCTTCTTCAGACTTGGAGTGGCTGGGGGGAAGCCAGGTTCAAACCGCGGAGCTGATTGCTCCAGGTTGTAAAGGCGACTCCTGTTTGCTTAGGGAGGGGCAAATCCTGCCCTGGGGGGGGTGCAGAACCCCCCTCCCCAAATCCCAGCTCTGCCCTTCAGCAGGGGTTTCACCTCCAGCTTTACTTTTCCTGGGGGATGCTCCTTCCCCCAGCGTCACAGGAGCAGAGGTTATAGGGTGCTCTGCCTTGAATTCCCCCAGCACTGCTTCCCACACCGATGGATGGCTGTGTCAGCAGGTTTTGCTGCGATCCTGCAAACTTTTCCCCTTTCCTGCCTTCTGGGGGTTGCGAGCAGCAGGTGCTGCTGCCTTTGCTTTGAATCGAAGAACCAAGAACGGGGGTCAGGAGCCTAAAAATAACCTTAGAGAGTCTTCTTGGCTTAAATGTTTAAGCTGCCTTTGCTTTTAAAATGCAAAAAAAGGCGCTTTTTTCTTGCCTTTCTGGTGAGTTTGTTTATGATCTCTGCAGTGGATTTATTATCTGCAAGCTCCAGCTCTGCAAAGGGAAGGGGTTTGTGAAGTGCTGGAGCAGCTCCACGGCTCTCTCTGGGTGGTGGAAGTCGAGGTGCTGGAGGGATTTAGAGGGGACGGGGTGGGGGGCGGAGGAGCCGGGGGCGGGGTGGGGGGGAGTGGGGACGGGACTTGGATCAGCTGAGAACCAGCCGGAGCTGGGAGGAGGGAGGAAAATGTTGTCACAATGGGATGAAACACTTCCTCCGGACCCTTCCCTGCCCCCGGGGCTTTCCCAATGGTATAAGGAGAGCTGTGGGCGAGTTCACCACATATCCACTCATCAGTGCAATGAGTTCAGCGTTTTCAGTCCCCTGGGGCTGTGTCTGTCCCCGGGGGGGAAGGGTGGAGAGCGGCTTCCCGGAGGCCCCAGCATCCGGCTGGAGGGTCCAGGGTGTGTGTGGGCTCCTTGTCACTTGTGTTTGGAGAACTTGGAGACAGCTCCGCTTTTCCAGAGAGTCTTCAAAAAGCAAGGGCTGGCTGGGGCATCTTTGGTGCTTGGAGGATTCCAGAGTCACTGGTGGAGGGAAAAAATGGGACCAGCTGTCCCCTTGTCCCTCCCTGAGCTGAGCACAAGTGGCTGCAAACCGACCTTTCCCATCTCATTTTTGGGGCTGGAACACTGAGTTTAGTGGAGTTTGGGGCTGGGGTTGGCTGGCTTGGTTTGTGCCAGTGACAGATCAGGTTTTGCCTTTCCAAGCATCATCTGCAGCTGCTAAATCCGCCTTCGGGACGCCCGTCCTCCTTTTTTGATGTCCTCCAAAGCCATCCCTGTGCCACCCAGCTTTGCAAGTCCCGGCGCGGTTCCTGGATGGCAATTGAATTAGAGGAGGTCTTGCTTAAACAGGCCCCCCCTTCTTCCCCGGCCCAAGGGCTCCCTGAGCAATTGTGAAATGAGATCTTTATCATTTTTATTAAAAGCTGTACACAAGGCATCACCATTAGGCTGGACGGGAGGAGGGAAGAGGGGTAATTCCCTTATGGCTCCCTTCTTCCCCCTCCCAGTTTAATTCATAGTGGTGGGATGCAAAAGCTCCCCAGAGAGTGATGGATAGTGGGAAATGAAGAATATGAAGGAGCTTTATTGAGCCCATCAATCTCGGGCGAGGCTGCTGCGATCAAAGGCCCAGCCTGTTTCGGCAGGGGTTACGGAGAGGAGCAAAGAGATCAGGTTTCGGGGAAACCTGGGGCATGGGGGGGCTGTGAAGCCTGTGAGCTCCTGGCTCAGCCCTGGCCGGAGGAGCCGGCACCCGCCGAGCTGGGTGGAGAGCCGGGGCCCAGCCCTGACTGGGGATGCTGAACCCGCTGAGCTTTTGGCACACCTACCCCTCTCCTGGGATACCGGGATTTGCAACCTGAGCAGGAATCACAGGATGGTTTGGGTTGGAAGGGACCTTAAGGATCATGCCATGGGCAGGGACACCTTCCACTATCCCAGGTTGCTCCAAGCCCCGTCCAACCTGACCTTGGACACTTCCAGAGATGGGGCAGCCACAGCTTCTCTGGGCAACCTGTGGCAGTAAAGAGGGAGTTAACACTTCCCTGTTCCATGTGAGGCTGAAAGCCCTCATGGAATGCTTCTCCCCAGCCAAAATGCCTGCCCCTAGTGAGGTCTCACCTCCAGCACCTGGCAATGAGAGACCCACTCGTGTCCAGGCTTGGATGTCCCTGTGTGGGGACATGCACCCGTTGGTGTCCAGGTTTGGATGTCCCATCATGACTTGGCTGATGGTGTCCAGCAGACAGATTGGAGGCTCTGAAGCACCTCCTGGTTTCTCCAGACCTTTCACAAATGGTGACCAAGATGTTGCCACCCTGCTCAGTAGACCACAAAAGGAGACCATCCCCTGGAACAGGACGGCACCCACCTCATGAAGATCAGTGGGCAGGACTGGAGGACTTGAAGATCACCTGGTGCTGGGACAGTGTTGACTCATCTTGGTCCCAAACCCAGACAGGAATGGGTTTGAGATCCCGGTGTGTGTGATACTCCAAGCAGGATGTTTTGGAAGGGGACATGACACACCACCCAAGGAGATTATCAGTTCAGTCTTGAGACACTGCTGCCTGCCTGCTGATAGTCATGTGCACCAGGCCTCTCATGGATCCTTTCTCTCCACCCCTTCCTGCTTTTCTCTGACCTCCATGTCCCTGAGTGGCTGCAAATCCAGGCATTGTAAGGTGGCATCAGTGGTGGATCACAGTGATAATGCTGCCTGGCTGGGCAGGTAGGAAGGTGCATCTTGTTTCTGCTCATTGTCCTCCTTTGGGTGATGCCAGGGGGAGGAGAGGGGGGCATCGACAATACCAGGGTGGCTTTTGGAGCTGATTCTTTTGCCTGATGCTGCATTCTCAAGATGCTGTCCCATTCCAAGGCTGGCATGGCTTACTTTACTTGTCCAAATCCCATCCCCAGCTTCCAAACCCTGCCAGCCTTTGGTGACCCCACAGGAGGGGAAAGGGGCTTCCAGACCTGTGTGTGCACTGCCGTGAACTTTACAGGCTCCTTCTGCCTTTTTACGGAGTGCTACATTCCTGGGAGGTGAGGTCAGAGCTGCTTCCCTGCACAGGCGAAACCAAGGGAAGGCTGGAGAGTCGATTCCTTGAGGCTGGAACACTCTGGGTCAAGGATGAGGGGCTGGGATCCATCTGAGTTGGATGCTTGCCTGGTGTTGGGAAGCAGTCCATCCTTCCATGGGATGGTGGTGGCACCTGGGTTTGCAACAAAAGGTGGAGTGGGAGGATCTTCTTTCTGGCTGAGCTTTGGTGCTCTGGGAAGGGAGGTGAAGATCCCATCCTGACATAGAGGGAGCCCCTGGAAAGCTGGCTTGGGAATATGATGTCCATCGGGAAGCTCGACCATGGTGACGAGGTGACAAAGTGCCACTTGTCTGTCCAGAGCCAGGGCTGCCTGCAGGGCTACAACCCTGATCTGGGGAATCTCTTTGAAGCTGTGGTGGATCCATCACAGTCCGTGGTGAACACCAGCTGTACAAACAACAGCCCAGAGCACATCTGCTGGCTCAGTCATCCATCTCCCAACCCATCCTGCCGAGGAGCCCTGTGGGAGTTCAGTGACATCCCCGAGCTGTGGGATGGGGTGTCCCAAGGTCCTGGGCTGTTCCCAGTGCTTGGAGGCTGCACCAAGCATCACTGCCTAGCATTTGGAGATGTCTTTGGGCACTGCCTCTCCGACAGCAGTGGTACATTGAGGCATGTTGCAGCTTGTGCGGTGTAGCTCTGGGACAGCAACGGAGGGTGTGGGGCTGTCCGGGCCAAAATCATCAAAAAATAATTAGGAGAAGGAGAAATGAGAGCCTGTTGGGTCTGGCACCACGGCAATTCCTCCTTCCTTTTTATTGCTGCAAAGGGAGAGGGGCTGGGGGGAGGCTGAATGTCATGTGGAGCATCTGGTGGGCACGGAGGGACAGTGGGGACACAGATCCTGCAGTTCCCCAGCCGCGGTGAGATCTCATCCCCCTTTCATCAGCCGAGCCCAAAACTTGACCCTTGCGCTGGTTTTCAAGTCGTTGGCGTAAAAACTGTTAAACAACCCAAACAAAGGCTCCAAGTCTATCAGCGTCCCGCGGCGGGCGGGGAGCGGCCGCGATGATTAGGTGTGCCCCGAGCACTCGGGATGTGCGGCGGGGGGAGGGCGTTCGTCCCTTAGCCCTCCTCTGAGTCCAGATAAAAGCTGGATCCTTGGGGGCGCAGCTGGATTTTGAAAGCTCCCCGTTCCTCCCCCGGCTGCAGGAGCGACTCGAGAAGATAAAACCTCTTGGCTCGAAGCCTCCATCCTGCATTTCCAAGCGCCCAGGAGGGCCCACCTTGCGCAAACCCTGTCACCTTCTGCCTCTGCTGCCTCTTGCCATCTCTCTGCAGCCCACGGAGGGAGGAAGGAGACGGCCATGGCAGCCAACGGCTCCGGTGGGATGCACGATGCTCTCCTGGACAGCAGCCTCCTCAGTGATGACGACCTCGTTTCCAACTGGTACATCTACGACACCATGGAGCCGGCCGTGCCACAGGATGAGTAAGTGTCCAGCCCCACTGGCAGGTGCCACATGTCCCCCTGTCCCTGCTTGGGATCGTACAACTTCCTCCCAGCTGCTCTATCCCCTTTCCACAGAGCAACATCCCCACAGCAGCAGGGCCAGGATTTGTGCCCGGGTGAGGAGATTTAAGAGGCTCCTTTTGGCCCCTTAAATTGCATAATTTGTTTCAAGTACCCCTGGCAAAGTCTGGGGTAAATCCTGCAGTGGGAATCTTTGCTGGTTACCCTCCCTTTTCCTCAACCTTCCCCAAAATTCAAAGTGCATGGGGTTCACCTGCTGACCTGACCCTCTTGAAGCTCCCACAGACTTTTCTGGCTGCTCTGATTCTGTGACTCTGGGTTTGGAGCCATCCTCATGACACAGCCTTAATCCCATCCCAGTTCTCTGCCAGCATCCATGCAGATTTTGGCTGGGAGTGAAGAGAGTTGGCAGCACAGCCCAATCTACTTGGACGCTCCAACAGGTTCCTGCATGGCACGGTGACCCTGAATAGGCTTTCCTACCTGCAAAATAGGGCTGAGCATCTCTGGGCTTGCATGGATGTCCTCTCCCTCTCCCTTTGAATTAGCATATCGATGGGTCTGGTAAAGCCTATTCCCTCCCCATCCATGATGACCCACTCGTATACTCTGTGTATTCCAAGGGGCAGTGCTGTGTTTCCTGCGGGGGTGGGACCCCAGGGCCCAACCTTGCAGCGAAGACCCAGGACTTTGTGCCCTTCCCAAGGACAAGGGAACTCCCAAAGGGAGGGGAAACTGAGGCATGGAGCACCAGGGCAATTTATCCAACGTGTCCCCAGGGCTCAAAGCCGGGCATCCCAAGGCCCATCTATTGGGATCTATTGTCCCTCTGTTGACTTAGTCCTCCATGGGTGGGTTTTATGCCCCTCAAATCACTGATACCTAATCCTGAGGATAACCAGGAGGGGATCCCAGTAGTGACCAACCCAAAGAGTTCCTTCTCATCTCTTATCCTTCTCTTTGTTTAACAGCCTTTGAAATCTCCTTGCCCAGCCTTGGTTTCCCCAGGTGAAACCCCACCTGTGTGGCCTCCACCTTCGCTAGAATCTTTCTGGGGATATTTTTGGGGTGTCCCCCAAGCCGTGGTCAGCAAAGGGATGGAGGTAGTGCTGGGGGATTTGCCCACCTGATGGCTTCTGGGTGCTCTGGATTTAGATGCTGAAGCCTTGGTGATATCAAAAAGATGTTTGGTGTTCCTATGCTCTCAATCATGCCAGGTGGATTTCCTGAGCCTGAATATTTTTGGGTAGCGGGAATTTTCTGGTCTGTCCAATGCCAGTCACTGGCACCTGGTCCTACAAAGCCCTTTTCTGGCAGGTTGGTGACAGCCTTGGACATATGATGCCTGGAAAATCCCAATTTCTCCATCAGACCCTTCCTTGCAGGCTTGCTCATGGGAGCTCCCATCTCTGCCCATCCCATTGCAGCTGTGGGGTCTGAGAGGGCAGAAGGGTTTGGGAGGGGTCCTTCCCTGTAAGTTATGGGGTTCAGGAGGTTCCCACATGTGAGTTATGGGGCTTAGTGGGGGGGCTCAGCTCTCCAGCACAGGGATTTGTTACCCAGTGTTGGGTGAGGGTGTCTGGGCACAGTCGTGCCTGGCCTTGGGGAGAGGAGGAGGGCTGTTCCAAAGCAGAGATTAAGGGATGTAACAGAGGCCAGGGAATCAATAAATAAAGCCACATCTGCTCTGCTGGCCTTGGCTGAGGGGGTGCAGCTCTGGGACCCCAGGCAGCCATCTCCTCCATCACCCCAAGCTGTGGGACAGCTTTTTCCCATGGGAAAAGCCTCAAAGCATCCTACAAGCAGCCTCCCAGCTGGAGTGAAGGGCCTTAGGCAGGAAGAAGTGCTGCACTCCCTGGGAAGCCAGATCCAGAAGGGATATGGGTGTAGAAGAGGCGAAGGCAGGGTTTCATCCTTCCTCACTGAGCTGTTCTGTCTCGCTGTCCCGGGACGTGCAGGAGTTCACCCTGTCCCTGTGGGGCTCAGCTCGGGGCCACTGCTGGGGGTTATCTCTCCCTCTTGGTCATAAAATCACCTCATGAGGGTGACTTCATCCCTGGTTACTGAGGGTTGTGTAACCCAGCACTCGGGAGGTTTATTCCGGATGGACATCTCTGCCGTGCCGTGTACGTGGCCTTCACCCCAGCACCTTTGCTTTTCCCTTTTGGGGCTAGAAACAACCACACATGATTTTTCCCCTGCTCTTTCTAGCATGTTTCCTGGCGTGATCCCAGACTGTGACCCCACTGTTTCCCCCAGGATGTATCACATCTGCATGGCACCCATCTCTGTAAGTACCTGAGCAGTACCACGGGGTGAGTTATCTGCCCCAACATCCTGTTTACTGTCCCCCAGTTTGTGTCATGCCCTCCCAAATATCAGGGCTGAGCTCTGCAGCTGGAGCTGGGATGGTCTTGGACAGGACTCACACCTCTCTCCAGACCTTTTTCTGTGCCTGTAGTCAATGGAAGGCTTTGATTTATGGTTAGACTTCATGATCTTGGGTGTCTTTTCCAATCCAAATCATTCCATAGTTCTACAATTTCCTTTTATTTTTTCCCAACATGTTCCCTCTGAGACATTTAGAGCCTCTAAACTCCTCCAAGCAGGTTGAAGAGTGCCTGTCCCTGCCTCAGCCATGGCTGGGTTTAGGGTGGAAATGGTGTTTCCATGGAGGCTCCCATAACACAGTTTCATGCCCCAGACTTCCCCTCCACGTATTTACTGCTCCCTTGGTTGTGTTTCTGGCAGCTGGCCGTGCTCCTGGGCTTGTCCTTGCTGGTGAAGCGCAGGCGTCTCCACCAGAGCTGCTGGAACGGTGTCCCAGGACTGCTCAGGTACCTTGGTCCTGAGCCCCAGCCCTCAGGGTCCCTGTCACTGTGCAACCAAAGGGGTGGTGGGAGGAGATAAACCAGCTCGGAGAGGGTGACAGAGTGCCCACAATCTGGTGTCAGGCTCATTCCTTCCTTGGCTTGCAGCCCAGCCAACTTTCTGGAAGAGGAAGGCAACCAGGGGCTGGTGGCCGCGGTGTTCGGCATCCTCTTCTCCTCCCTGTGCGTGCTGGTCTTGGACAGGGACCCTCTGCCACTCATCTCCCACTCCTCCCAGAGCAGCCGAGGTAAGGCCAGCACCCTCCTGGCCCATGGGCACTGCGCCCCTCCCCACCCAGCCCAGGGGACAACACCCTGAGCACCCTGTCCTCTCTGGTCCACACTGACAGCGCTGCCTTCTCTTGCATGTTTTGCTCTCCCTTCCCTCTTCCCATCATCCCACCATCTAGAGTACTGGAAGATCATGGCTTTGCTCTACTACCCAGCCTTCTACTACCCCCTGATCGCCTGTGCCACCGTCCGGCACAGACTCAGCTACCTCGTGGGCTGCCTGCTCTCCTGGTGCCACTGCGTGGTCCACATCTGGCAGAAGGTGGACTGTCCCCAGTCGCCAAAGGTGTGTGTCCCACCTCCTGGGGAAGGAGCAGAGAGGTGGCCAAAGCCTGGAGGTGGCTTTCTCACAACCTCCTGGAAGTGGCACCGTGGTGTCACCTGCCCAGGGTTGGACTCCTGGGCTGGAGTGGTGCTGTGTGACATCTGTGCTTCCCCCCCCAGATATACAGGTACTACTCCACACTCTCGTATGTCCCCATCATCCTCTGCCTCGTCCTCTTAAGCCTTTGGTATCCAGCCCTGCTCATCAGGAGCTTCACAGTCCAGGAGGAGGCCTTGGATAAGGAGGTAACGAAGATCCACGGGGAAACTCAGGGAGAACCCCTGGAGGGACCAGCATGGTTCTGGGGACTTTCCTGCCCCGTTGCCTTGGGGATCAGGAGATCTGGGGTGCTACCAGTGCACGTGTTCCCCACTTCGCTCAGGCACTGGAAGTGACTCTGTTTATATCACTGGATTTGAAGAGGGAGTGAAAAATCCATCTTTGGAGTAAACTCCTTAGTACAAGAGGCTTAAGGCATCAATGCCTCCCCTTCAGGCTGGGACTGGGGTCGCCTTGTTTTCCCAGCAGGCTGGATAATCCCTGGCCCTTTGAGAAATGCTGGGGCTTTGTTGGGAAGAGAGGAGGAAAAACCTACTTCAAAACAAAGAAAAAAAAACAGCCCAAGTGTGGACTGAAGTGACCCCCAGGCACTTAACTGGGAGCTGGCTGATGGGCAGGAGAGATTTCAACCGTCCTACTGGTGTGTCTGGTTTTTGTGGGCTGCTTTGTTGGTGGGAACAAGGCAGGTTTGTTTCCGCCTTTGCTGCACCAGAAGATTTGCTGCCCACATCGTTCCAACACATTCCTTATCAAAACGAGGGCTGGAAAGCCATCACCGGCATCTCATACAGAGTGGCCAGGGGTAGTAGAGCAAGGAGGTGGATGCTGGAGGGGATGCAGATGCTCTGCCCTCTGCCCAGATCAGAGTTCCTGTGCTGAAATCAGGCAACTTATGGCTGCTTTCTTTAAGGTTACAGGGACAGGGTATTACAAGAAGTACCTAAAGGCTGTCCTATCCAAACGCCCTCGGAAGGGAAGGTAAGGACGGCACCTCCCCATGGCACTGCCTGTTCAGCGAGCACCTGTGCCAGCCCTGCAGTGGGACAGAGAGACTCCCTGTCCCAAAGGACGTGCTCTTCACCCTGTCCTTCCCTCCTTTCCAGCTCCACAAAGATAGAAGAGAGCCTGCTCTCAAGGATCCAGACGTATTTATGCTCCTACATCTACACTCCCGAGGAAGGTGGGCTGGGGGCTGCTCTCCTGGCCGCAGCAGCAGCTCGGCAGACAGGCTGCCTGCCCTTCCCCGGGGACAGCAAATGCCTTTCTTGGCTCCTGCCCCGAAGCATCTGTGCCACGGCAGCTGCCACGCGCCACACGTGCGATGCCTTGGCTCAGCACAAACCATTTGGGGTGGGGACATGGACCCCCTGCACCCCCTGGAGACGTGGGTGGGCTGAGGCAGTGAGGTTCAGGCATGGGTTGTGCCAATAGCGCAGAATCATGGAATGGTTTGGGTTGGAAGGGACCTCAAAGACTGTCCAATCCTGGACGGGCAGGGTTGGGCAGGGACAACTTCCACTATCCCAGGTTGCTCCAAGCCCTGTCCAACCTGGCCTTGGACACTTCCAGGGAGGGGGCAGCCACAGCTTCTCTGGGCAACCTGTGCCAGGGCCTCACCACCCTCACAGGGAAGAATGTAAACAACTTGGTTCTTGATAATGCTGTGACAAGGAAATAAAATCTGCAATAAGTGGATTAAATCCCTAATAGAGCAGGAATGGGGAGCTATGCCTTGCTGTCTCTCCTGTAGAAGAAGCAGAGAGTGTTCCAGGAGGTGGCAGCCCAGGGACCATGGCACCCAGCTGCTGGCATTTGGTGCTGTGGGCACAAAAGTTTTCATGGAAAAGGAGGATGGACCCATACAGCCAAAGTACAGAGAAGCCACTGCCAGCTATGTGTTCACACAGGAAATCCCGACTAATGTTAACCATCCTGTTTCAGTGCTTTCCCTGGGGTGTTTGCTTTGGCCACTAGGTTGGGTGGACCTGCAGCCTGCTCCCTTCTTCCCCCATGTTCCCACATCCTGGCTCCTGTCTGATTCTGCCTTACAGGTTTCCGGATCCCCCTGAAGCTCGTCGTGTCCATAACCATGGCTGTGATCGCCGTCTACCAGGTGATGCTGGTGATCAAATGCCAAGCAGATCCTCTTCCTTCCCTGCCTCCTGACCATGTCCTCTCGAGGCAGAGGAACCCAGAGGTCGCTGCCATGCCACAGTTTTGGCTATGGGAATAGTATTAACGTGCCTCAAGGAATTACCATCCCCCGGCTGAGCCGCAGCAACCGGCCATGTGCTTCCAGGGCTCAGCCAACCCTAAGTCTTTAAGCCAAGGTGATGGCTCGGCAGGGGAATGCCGTGATCCGGGGCTCACGTGTCACTGCTCCTTCACAGGTCGCCCTGCTGCTCCTGGTATCCTTCGTTCCCACCATCCAGATCGTGCGGGCGGGAATGACAAAGGACGTCGTGGTGCTGTTGGTCCAGTTTGGCTTGGTGCCCTCAGACAACCCAGCTGTCCCAGGTGACATGGAGAAGGAGCTCAACATTGTCAAGCACTACCTGTGGTCGCTGGAAGGTGGGTTCCCCAGCCAGGCCCTGCGTCCATAGGTGGTTTCTGGAGGATTTCAGAACTTACCGGAGGGATTCCTGATCCAGAGGGTGGGCGGTGACAAGGCAGCTTCCAGAGGGACTTCAGAGCCAGCTGCCAGAGCCGCAGACATGAAAGGCGGTGGTGTGAGCCTGGTGCTGTGCCAGCTCCGAGCAGCCGCCGCGTGCCAAGGCGGGCAGAGCCGGCAGGGAGAGCCGGCAGCGCCACGCTGCAGATGCTGCCCCTCGGCTGCGGGCTTTGATATGTGCTGGAATCGAGCAGATGGCCCCTGGCCCCCTGGATGATTGAAAGCCTGGAATGGGGGTAGCAGGGGATGCCCCCCCCCCTCCACAGCACTACCTTGGGGTACCACCAACCACAGGAAGGCTTTTTATGGCTCTTCCTGAATCACGAAGCCTCTCTCATCACGTTTTTTTTTTCCCTCCTGACATCTCCATCCCTCCTACTAGACTTCCTTGCCCCCTGTTGCTTTCCCCCCAGCGTCCACTTTTCTGAGAGCACCTTCCCAGGCTCTCTCCATCGCACCACCTGCTTATCACAGCTTGCTCCAATGCCTTTTCCTACACTGGGCCAGCCTAACTGCTTGGATTTCCCTTGACAGCTTGTCTTTCCCTTTCCCTGTCTCATCAGTTCACACGTGGGAGATGGAGATCCCTGTATTGCGAAGGAGGGAGGGAGGGAGGAAACTGAGGCACGGTGCCATGCAACCCCATAACTCAACCCCTGCACTGCTCCTCAGATGCCTTTTCCAATAAAATCCCATTCCCAGGGCTGGCCACAGGCTGGCTGATCCAGCCTTTCCCTCTACCCCTCCGCAGTGTGCTACATCTGCTCGCTGGTGCTGTGCTGCCTCCTGACCTGCGCCATGCTCCTGAGGACGCTGGTGATGCACAGGTATGGATGGCATCCCTGTTCCCTTGGCTTTGCCCTTGCCACCGAGCCGGCATACAGCTGGACTCTCTCCCCAGGAATAACCTGAAGGCACTTTACCAAGGGGCCGTGCTGGACGTGTTCTACAAAGCCCACATCCTCCGCCCGTCCCGACAAGCCGTTGTCTGCTGGATGAGCTTCGCCGGCTTCCAGACAGCTTTCGCCTGCTTGGGTAAAGGATCCTGGGGGCAGAAGGGGGCGGATGGGTGGCGGATCTCCACCTTGAACGTTCTACCCTCTCTTCTCCCTTTCTCACCCCGTTTTGCAGAGGGATGGCTGTGAGGGTTTTATTCCCCTTTCCCCAAACACAATCTGTCCTTCTGCGGGAAGGACCATGCTGAACACCAAATGGTCAGGAATTAAAATAGGAGCGGGGGGGCCAGGGTGTGTGATGATGATTCATTTTGGCTCAAGCCCAAATATTTTGATTTGAGAAGCTGTCGCAGAATCTCGTGCAAAGGACTGTCTGTCTCCCCTGGTCCTGATCATTCTGGGTGTTCCTCGCTGTGCACCTTCCCTGTCACAGCCTGCATGTCCCTGTCTGGGAGGGAGAGGCCACCCCAGGGAGGGGTGGAGGACGTCAGATAGGGTGTAAATCTTTACCCCATCATGGTCTGGAGGCATTTTAAGGCCTCTCTGCCCCCTGGGAGGTGACTCTGGTCATTGCCTGCCAACAACCAACTGTATCAGCACTCCGAGGTCACACAGGGGAGTCAGGCTCAGGGTCCAGGGGCGTGATGGAAGGACAGGAGTGACCATGTCTTGGGAAAGCAGACCTGTTTTGCAGAGTTTAGTGTGGAGGTAGGAGCTGGGGAGCCCCCCAGGAGCTCCTTGCACCAGCTTTCCATGAGCCACCCAGTGCTTGGTGCATCCCTGACAGAGCTGGATCTCACCTCCTTCTTAAAACTCTTGGATTTCAAGTGATTAAAGTAAAGCAGGGGCAGTGAAGCACCAGCTTGAGCACAAGGAACCACAGTCTCTGCTGATCTTGGTGTGATTTATGATTAGAAATCAGAGCTCAGGCTGGATTTTATGATGAGATATCATAGTTGCAGCCCCGAGTGATGGCTCTTCTCAGCGGGGATAATGTGGGGAGTGATAAGAAAGACTGAGCTTGTAATTAAATCCTGCACGGAGCGTCGTGTTCGGAGCGGGGGAGGCAGGTAAGGATCTCAAGGGCGTTTTATGGGATTAAAATGAACAGCATGTTCAGCAATGAGCATGGATCTGGGGAATAGGAGCAAAAATGAGAACTGCTTCTCCCTCCTCCCCCTCCATGGTTCCTCTGTGTCTCCCTACCAGGTCTCCTCATCCAGCAAGTGATCTTCTTCTGCTGCTCGGTGGCGTTTGCCTTCCTCGTTGTCATCCCGCTCCAGTATGGCACGAGCACCCCCCTCTTCACAATCATCCAGAACATGTGGTGAGTGCTCCCAGGTTTTTGGAAGAATGTGCTTTGGGGTGCTCTGCTGTGGGCTCTTCCAGCTTTGCTGGACGTTTCCGCTGCCTGGGATGGCGTCTCGTGCTCGGGACCCTCCTGGTGTCCAACCTCTTGCCTCTTCCCTCCTGCCCAGGCCCTTCTGGTTGACCCTGGTGGTTGCCGTCATCGTGCAGCATTTGGCAGCTCATTACCAGTTCCTGGAGCAGCATCCCCTGCGGAAGGAGCTCACCAACAGGTATGGGGACATGGGGAGCCCTCGGGGCAGAGCTCACCCTCCTGAGGTCCAGGACTTGGGGGCTGTGTTAGGTTTACACATGTCCCTGCTGTGGAGTCCACTGGGTCGTGAGCTCAAGGGAATTTGAGGCATTTAAATGGCTTGATGCTCCCAAAGAAGTTTCTTCAGATGTTTCAAAGGGCCATGGTCCATTTACAGCCTTGATTTTGGGTGGGGGGGAAATGGTGAGGTCCGTGCTCTGCCCTGTCACCTCCATTTGCAAGCCTGAGGAAGTCCAGATCCCTCAGGATCAGCTGGACCAGCTCAGTCCTGGCAGCAGATGAGGTCACACGTGGTGTCACAGCCCAAGATGTGCCTTATGCTGGAGGCCAGGGTGGCAGATGGATCTAAGTGTCCTGCTCCATCCACCAAAGGCGCTTCCACCACCTCCACCACTCCCCCAGCACAGCAGGGAGGCTGCTGTAGGCTCTTCTGGCCTCCATGGGGAGCTGGTGCCCTCCCTCCCAAACCTTTGTCTGATTTCTAAGTCTCTGAGAAGAAAAGGAGACCCTGTGTGTGTGCGGGAGGCCAAGCTCTGCAGTCCTGACAGTGCTCTGAGAGCCTGGAAGGGTGTTTGCCTCTCCCCATGGGATGGAGACACCTCAGACAGAGACTGTGTCTGCTGAGGAGGGAGGGAAGGGCGGGAAGCTTGTTTTGGCAGGTTCCTCCGGCAGGGAAGGGCTGCGCTTCCCATCCCGTGGTGTTTGTGTTCCGTGCTCTTCCTTCTCCACCCACAGGCGAGCCCTCTACATAGTCACCTACCTGCTCTTCCCCATCAACGTCCTGGTGGGTGTCCTGGCTGGGGTGTGGAGGATGGTCATTTCTGGCCTTTACAATGCCATCCACTTCTGCCAGCTGGACATCAGCCTGCTGAACCGGGGCGTGGAGGCCTTCGACCCAGGTAGGGCACGGAGAGGGTCCCCCTGCAGCCCCTCTGGGAACATGGGAGCCCTTTTCCCACCCCTGAGCTCCTGGGGGAGGTGGCTCCTGGGGCTGCTCCGTATCCTGGAGCTGCCAGGACTGGGAGTGGCTTCAAACCACATGCATTCAGAAATGGGAAAACTGGAGCAAGTGGCTTCTCCCGATGCCTGCTTGGTCCTGCTTTTCTATCCCAAAAGGTGGGTGATGCCCTTGCAGGTTTCACCAGTGACCAGACCTCATTTCCACAAGCAGCACACCTTCATCTCTCCTGCACTAAAGGCAGCAGGAAAGGGACCTCAGCCCTTCCCCTGCTTTCCCTGCTGGGATTTGGAGGGCAGAGTTCAGCCCCAGCATTGAAGGCAGAGCAGCTCTGGCAGGGCAGAGCTGGAGCCCAGCAAACAGCCCTCTCCTTTGCTGCAGGGTGGGAGGGACAGGGAGAGGAGGGGGGAATCCTGGAAGTCTGACCCCCCCAGATGCATTGACTGTGGTCTGTGTCCCCCTAGGCTACCACACGTACTGCCACTATCTGAAAATCGAGGTCAGCCAGTCCCACCCAGTGATGAAAGCTTTCTGCTTGCTGCTTCTCCAGCCAGCCCGACCAGAGCGGCCGGCAGCACCCCAGCCCAGCAATGTGGAAGAGGGTGAGGCCTTCCCACCTTCAACCAAGGGGGATGCACAGCCATCACCGTGGGGTGGCATCAGCGCCTCCTCTGCAGGTTTGCTGCTCCTCTGGAGGTGCTGGTTTTTTTGGGGTAAAGAGACCGTGGAGGGTCGTGGTTCCCTACTTTCATGACATCTTTCCTTGAATTGTGGATGTCTCCATCACGGGACTTGCTCCTGTGGAAGGGCAGGATGAGGCTCCCAGGGGTGTGGATGGAGTCTTGGCAGCCCCAGTGAGAGGGAACTGGGGCTGAGATCATAGAATCCCAAAATGGTTTGAGTTGGAAGGGACCTTAAAACTCATCTTGTTCCATTCCCTGCTGTGGGCAGGGACACCTTCCACTATCCCAGCGTGCTCCAAGCCCTGTCCAACCTGGCCCTGGACATTTCCAGGGATCCAGGGGCAGCCACAGCTTCTCTGGGCAACCTGTGCCAGGGCCTCCCCACCCTCACAGGGAAGGATTTCTTCACAATATCCCATCTAACCCTTCCCTCTGGCAGTGAGAAGCCCCTTGTCCTGTCTCTGCACACCCTTGTCCCAAGTCCCTCTCTGTCTCTCTCGGAGCTTCTTTAGGTACTAAATCATTCCCCCCACCATTTGCCATGTCCTTCCAGGCATCCAGCTGATGCATCCCGAGAGGACGCCCCTGAACAGGGCGCGGACCAGGCGGAGCCGAGCCCGTTGGTGCTTGGCTTACACACTCCTCAACAACCCCTCGCTGACGGCCTGCCGGAAAACCGCCCTCTCTGACCCCACGGCCAACGGCACCCAGCTCAGCCCCCCCAAGCCCTGACCTCCAGAGAAGCCCCCCACCTCTCTCTGCCTCCCATGCACCCTCCTTTCCCATCCCATTCTTGTCTCCTGTTGACTCTAATACTGCACCAACAGGAGTTTTGGGCACCTCTTGCCCCCTCTCCAGCCTCCGGAGCCTTTCCAGCAGTGTTGGGGGCTGGTTTTTATCTCTAGGTCCGTGCTGAGCCACTCCCTAGGCCTGGAGGTAGAGACAACTGGGTCACCTCCAAACCTGACCTGGAAGGAGATGAGCCAGGCTAAACCCTTCCAGCATCTCAGAGATATTTTAGGAGTCACTCCTGCAATGAGCCCACCCGTTCTCAACAGACACATGGCAAGACAGGCAAACCCCCCAGTGCCAGGGCATAAGGAAAGAGGGAGAAGGTGTGTGGACGAATCCTTAACCATCCTCAGCACAAGGAATTACCTGCATCTCAACGTGATCTCCTAGTGGAGAAGACCCCACTGCCAACCCCATCCCCAGCCTCTCCCTTTCTGACCCTGGCTCCCTTTGGGCACTGGGACTTGCTTTTTTCCCCAATTCTGTGAAGGATAAAATCCTGTCTGCCCCTGTTCTGGGCTGTGAGGCTGCAGAGCTGTTTGTTTTCTGTCCTCCCCTGTCCTCTCACCCCCCCACCCCAGTGCCTCATTGTTGCCACCCTGTTTTGTTTAAAGCCAGCAGCTCCCAGGGCAGGTGTCCCTCTGAGCGAGACGAGCTTGAATCCGTAGAATCCAGTTTTACACCTCGCTTGGATGTGCCGAGTCGGGGAAGGTTAATAAATCACATACCTCATTCCTATGCTCGGGGTGTCCTTGGTCTCTTGGATGTTCCCAAATCAGGCAGGGGACACATGAGGACCATCATCACCCTGTCTCCAGGTGATGGTTTGGACTGACTTTGCCCAGCAGAGACTTTGTGGTAGATCTGCTTAACCAGGAGGTGACGGGATCAAATCTGTGATCCCACTTTAGGGCAGTTTGAATGCAAAACTTATCCCTTTGCTAATCCCTTGCTGATCCCTTCATAACACTTGGGCCCTAAACTGCAGCTCCCACAAAGGATGGGAACTGAAACAGGGCAGTCCACAGCTAAAGCACCAAAGGGAGATGTGTAAGGTGTTGCTGTGTGACCTTTTCCTACACCTAAAATCCTTGAAATCCTGCCTTTTCTGGGCTGGAAGGATGCCTGTGGCAGCAGCAAGCAGAGCTCTTGGTAAGTTCTACTGGTGTCTCCTTCCCTCTCAACGCCATCACGAACACTTCAGCCTTGCTAAAGCAGCCTTTGCAGTCCACCGAGCAGGGCTGCTGGATCATCCCCTTGCCCCAGGGATCTCCTTGGAAGGAGGCTTCCAAGGACCCTACTCCCTCTTGCTGGGATGTTTGCAGCCCCTTAGTGTGGTTTGTGGGGAGCGAGGCTGAGCCCGGTGCTTTGGGGTTTGCCTGGAGTGTCCCGAGATCTTCCCGGCAACACCTGGGTGGGAGCCATCCTTTTCCATGGCAGTCTGACCCTTGTTCCTTTCCATCCCAGGGAAGACAGGGGGTCTCTGCCTTCATCTGCTGCCTGCAGGTGCCACCCGGTGTGCTGGGATGCTGGAAATGCTGTCACATCCGCTGCCCACCAATCCAAGGTGGTTAAAGTAATCGCTTTTGATCACTGTCTGGCATGAGCACAATGTCACCGGGCTGGGTGACAGCGGTGCCACCGGAGGCAGGTCTGGGCTGGTTTCTTTTTAAGGAGCAGGAGCCCAAGGTGCAATTCCTGCCACGTTCCCAGCTGTGGGATTCGCGGTGTGCATGCCTGGTTTGCACGGCAGAGCCTGGAAGAGAGAGGGGTGCTTGGGTGTCCGGGGTGTCCCTGACGCACCTCACCTCTCCCTTGTGGCCCGTCCCAACCCACCTCCAGCCTCCCAGGCACTGAAGGCAGCCTTGGTAATCCCGAAAATCTCTGGCAGCTCAGGGCCGCGGGTGGAGCTGAATTTCAGCATCTGTTTACCCAGCCCTGCCCCAGGCGTCCTGGAGATGTCTTGGCTGGGGCCCTGGTGAGAGATGACAGCCCTGGGAGGAAGACAGGAGGTGGCCTCATGGATTTGCTTGTTTTCTTGGACATAAACAGTGCCCTTGTTGGGGGGGGGACTGATCTTCTTCGTGATGGCTTCACACCTCATCTCTAAAGCCCCAGCACTGCCTTGGCCGTGGGGTAGCTCTGTCCCTGCACATCCACACCCCTCTCCGCCCAACCCCTGAGCAGACGGTGAGGTGGTTCAGGGAGCTGATCCAGCTGCAAATGGCCCTTAAGGAAAATTTGTCCGTGTGGGGATTGGAAATTCAGGTCTGGCTTTGCAAACGGGAGGGACGGAGGGCTGTGTTATCCCGTGGTGGGCCCAGATGGTGATGCCAGGTTTGATGTCACCTGCAGCATCCAACCCAGGAACGCCATGGCACGGGGCCCTGTTTGTTAGGAATGACTGATGCTTAATATCACTAACAACTTGCCATGAAATCTATGAGTAAACCTGGCCGAGGTGGAGGAATTCACTTTTTTTGGTGGCAGAACAGCAAAGCTAGTGGGAGCTGCAGCTCTGCGAGACAGGCAGAGACATCCAGGCATGGCTTGGGACTTCTGAGAGCCTAAATTTGATTTTTTTATCCTTATGCCAGGCCCCAAACCCTGTTCCCAGCTGAGACTGCAGGAATAAACTCCTGTACCCCACTATTCCCAGGCAAACTGGAAAGGGAGGATGTCAGCTGATGTCAAACTGATCTCAGACTGATTTTAAAAGTTGTATCCTATGAAACGAAACCAAAACTCTCCTTGGGGCCACATTGCTTTTCATCCCGTAATGGGAAAAATATGTTCCTGCTTGTTAGCATCCATTGGTGCAAGGAGCTCCTGGCTGGGTCTGGGAGGTTTCTGCCTCAGGACCCCCACAGAGACCTCGGCGCCGTACGGGGCTGTGTTGGCAGCTCCTTGGCTCTTTCCTTACCCTACAAGCCATCTGGGTAAGGAATTTTGAATCTAGAGAGCTTGTGTGTAGTCTTGAGGCTCTGGGATATCTGGTTGCCAGCTGATTTGGGTGTTGCTGATTTCCCCAGCTTGCTGCAGGCA